ATGTCTGATGAGGAGGATGAGGATGAGGATGAGGATGAGCAACCTCAGAACTCCCGTCCCTACATGGCACTCTTGCAAGGTTTCACCGAATCCACAGAGCCGAGTGCAAAGAGGAGAAAACTAGACAGCGGCAAGCCTGAGAATGCCGCCAAGGCGACAGCAGCTGCAGCAGAGTCTTCTGAAGATGAGGATGAAGATGGGGAGGCTGGTGAGAAGGACGTCGACAGGGTTGATGAGGCAGAAGAGGAGGATCCTTCAGCCGACCTTGCTGACGAGGAGGCGGAGAGCGACGACGAAGATGATGTTGATGCGACGGATCCGTTTGACAACCACTTTGCGACCCCCGATGAAGATACCTACACGAAGAAGGTCAAGGCGATTCAGAAGAACGGCTGGACTTTCAAGCGAAGCATGTCCAAGGTGTCTAAAGCTGTCGTCACATATCCTCAGTTTGAAGGTTCAGAAGCGCCGTCAATTCCATCGCCAATCTCAAGCTTGGAGAGCCTCAAGCTCAAGCAGAAGCTCAAAGAGTCTGCGTCAAAAAAGATCTCGCCACTCAGCACGTTGCAGAAAGCAATGGCACCGGTACTGTTCAACTACAACGACATTTTATACGACAATCGCGACATCAAGAACTCGGAAGGGTTGAGGCAGCTCGTGTGCTTACATGCCGTCAACCACGTCTTCAAGTAAGATCCTCATACAAACCGACAGAATTCAGGGGCTTCTCTAACATCTTGTAGAACTCGCGACCGCGTCATCAAGAACAACTACAAGTTGGCCAAGGAAGAAAACGCCGACCTGGAGCTGAGAGATCAGGGCTTCACACGTCCCAAGGTCCTCTTCATTCTACCAACGCGACAGTCGTGCTTGAAGATGGTGAACACCATCGAAGCGCTCTGCGCGCCCGACCAGCGCGAAAACAGAAAGCGTTTCGAGGAAGCCTATACCGACGAAGAGGTCAAGTTTGGCAACGACAAGCCTGAAGATTTCCGCGACCTCTTTGAAGGCAACGACGACGACATGTTCCGCATCGGCATGAAGTTCACCCGCAAGACCATCAAGTACTTCTCCCAGTTTTACAACTCGGACATTCTTTTCGCCAGTCCCTTGGGTCTGCGGATGGCCATCGGCTCGGAGGAAGACAAGAAGAAGATGGATTACGACTTTTTGAGTTCCATTGAACTGGTCGTGGTCGACCAGGCCGACGCCCAGCTCATGCAGAACTGGGAGCATGTCGAGTACATCTTTGAGCACATGAACCTCCAGCCCAAGGACGCCCACGGGTGTGACTTCAGTCGTGTGCGCAGTTGGTACCTCGAGGACTGGTCAAAGTACTTCCGACAGACCGTCATCCTGTCCGCCTTCAACACGCCAGAGTTGACGGAGCTCTTCCGCACCCAATGCCACAACTGGGCCGGCAAGATTCGATTCCAGGCAGACTACTCCGGCGTCCTTCAGCAGCTCGGTCTCAAGGCGCGTCAGACCTTCTCCCGCTTCGAGGCCAAGTCTATCGACAAGGAGCCCGACGCCCGCTTCGACTACTTCGTCTCGGCGATCCTCCCCTCCCTCATCAAGCGAGCCAAGGACACCAGCGGAACCCTCATCTTCATCCCCTCCTACCTCGACTTCGTTCGCGTGAGGAACTACTTCGCCACCAATGCCGCCGTCGGAGTTCTCTCCTTCGGTACCATTTCCGAATACTCAGAGGTCCCTGAAGTATCCCGCGCTCGCTCTCACTTCACAACCGGCCGGCACAAGGTTCTTCTGTATACGGAGCGTGCGCACCACTTCAGACGGTACAACCTGCGCGGCGTTCAGCGGGTAATCATGTACGGCCTGCCGGACAACCCGATTTTCTACCGCGAGATTGCTGGAGGTTACCTTGCCCACAGCGAGCAGAACCTTCTGATCGAGCCTGGACAGGGTACCATCAGGGCCATGTTCTCCAAATACGATGTCATGAGGCTGGAGCGCATCGTCGGCACGCAGCGCGTAGGCAAGATGATCCAGGAGAAGGGTGATACTTTTGACTTTGTGTGAATCGGGAGAGGCCACAAGAGAAAGATGGAAGTTGCGCCTGCTCATCTGGCAGGCTTGAAAAAGTTGTTTTGTCATAGTATACATGTATACCCCACACGACCATAATCTATAGACTGGCCAGGTATTTTTCGTTGATCGTACACCAAAAAAAGAGTTACAGATCGTTTTTTGAGCGCCTCCGCCGTCCACCTCCGCCCCTGCATTGGCTCAGCATGCGTATTCTATCGCACCAATGCCTTCACTTCCTCAAGTCCAGGTCAGGTCCTGACAAACCCTCGGCCTTGACTGTTTCCTTTTTCGCTCTCCTAGATCCTGGGATGCGGCCACGTTTCTTTTTGTAAAGCTTTCGCAGTCTGTATTGCTTGGGTTGGGGATTCTCATTGAACCTTTTCACCAAGGCGTCAAAGGCTTGATGGCCGTCCTTGCGATACCTCGTCACCTTCTCCTTGTTCTTGAGGGTAAGCTCGCTAGATTTGTTGCCGTTCTCCCTGTCCCTGGCGACAGCCTTGGCCGTCATGGCGAAGCGGATATCACGCGGCCCATCGAGGAGCTCGAGGATGGCAGAAGGAGCTTGATCGTATCTGTTTCGGGGCTCGGTGCGGAGGACACGGGTGTAGCCTCCGGGGCGCTTGGCGTAGCGTTCGCGCAGCTCGCCAAAGACCTTGGGGAGAAGGTCGTGGGGGGTCTAGAGATCTTGTCAGCCAAATTTCTGTCCTGCTATGGTACCATTCAGGCAGCGGTGGTGGGTGTGGCGTACGTAGAGCATGGCCTGGACCTTCCGCTTGGTCTCCTCGTTGTTCCTCTTCGCGAGGGTAATGAGCTTCTCGGCCATGCGCTGGGCCTCCTTTGCCTTGGCGTAGGTGGTCTGGATGTGCTCGTGGGTCACGAGGGAGGTGACGAGGCCGCGGAGGAGGGCCTGTCGCGCCGACGAGTTGCGGCTCAAGTGCCTGTACTTGGTGAGACCTCCCGCCATGGCTGCTTCGGCGTCTCAATCGATTGGCGAGGTCGGTGAATGTCGCTTCAGTGAGCCTCCTCAATAGCCTCTGCGTTGTGTGGTCAAACGGGGGCCGACGCAGGTGCAGCAGCTAAGCAACTGTCGTCGGAAGTCGCGATAGCCTTTTCTCCTTCGCTCTGGATCCCAAATTTTTGGCCTCTGGCAGCGTTCACCCAGGAGGTTCCCTGAGGGGTGGGTGGGCAGCCGCCCGCTCTGGTTGGCCTGGCCGCTGCTAGTGCGGGACCCTCAGCGCCTGTGGCGACCTATGTCCACCAGCCCGGGGAGGCTGAAAGTCGCTCGCTCGCCGAAGGGCCAGTCCGATTAATTAACGTCATTCCGCCGCCTCGACAAAAAGCTCCCGCCGATATCAAAAAAAGGGCCCGACGACCCAGTCCCGCTTTCTCGACAGCAGAAAGACCCAATTCGGCCTCCGACGACGGACACATTCGACGTCCGCAACATGATACCGTGAGGCCCGTCACTTTTTTGTTAGAAAAGACGACACTCAATTGCGCCCAATCGAAATCGGAACCGGGAGAGTAAATCGACGAGTGCAATCATGGGCTTCACCACTGGCTTCGTACGTCTCTTAACCCCCGCATAACGCACTCAATCCCATAAGCCACGAAACTCAACTAACAGCCGCAAACCAGACCGGCGGTGTGACCCTCACCCTAGGCGTCGCCTACCTGACCGTCCTCGCCCACCAACGCAACCGCGAGGCCCAATCCCACGTCCTCCGCTCCCAGAACCACGTCCTCTCCTCCCTCCTCGAGCCCAATCTCCGCCTGCCGCCTCCCCTGACGCGCTCCGAGCAGGCCGTCAAGGACCGCGAGAACCTCGTCGAGTCGGCAAAGTACCGCTGGAACAAGGAGGTCGAGAACGCCGTCCGGTGGGCGCAGCGGACGGACTGGGCCGAGGTCCGCGAGACCCTCGAGGGCAACGTCGCGCGGCTCTGGGGCGGCGCCATCGACAAGACCGCCGAGGCCGGCGACAGGGCCGCGCCGCTAGCGAAGGAGGTCGTCGAGGGCGCGAAGCAGAAGGGCGCCATCCTCGCCGACGAGCAGGGCGAGAGCCTCCGCAAGGAGGCCAAGAGCGCATGGGAGCGCGCGAGGGAAAAGACGCTCGCCGCCGACGAGGCCGCGCGCACGAAGGCGGCCGAGCTGCGGAAGGCGGCGGACGCCAAGGCTGCCGAGGTCAAGGCTGTCGTGGGCGAGGTCGTAGAGAAGGGCAGGAAGGAGGCCGGTGCCGCTATCGTGAAGGCGCAGCAGGTGGCGGGCATCGTCGAGGACAAGGTCAGCATCAAGGAGGACGGGAAGGTGCTGCCGGCGGGTTCGCCTGTGCAGCAGGCGCTACACCAGCGGTACGAGAAGCCGAACGGGCTGACCAAAACGGTCAAGGAGGTGTTGGCGGAGCGGTATCAGCGGGTTGACGAGCGGGACAACACGCAGCTCAGGGGTCTCTGAGCGGGCGGTGGTGGCCGTTGTCAGTGTAAGAAACTTACCTCTCCTTCCGAAAACGGCCCCTCCACGGCAGAATACGGGAGGGGCGGAAGTTGTGGCAGGAACTGTACTACCATACTCATCTTATAGAATGGAAACGACAGCCTTTTTTTCTCTTCTTTGTGAACAGTCGAGGTTCTACCGTGGGGCTACGTGGAGGCGCCTGTCATGTGGACGATGTCGCCTGTGGTACGGCAGGACGGGTTGACTCGGCGCTTCTACCGGTCTAAATTCAGGGGTTTGCGTGACGATGAAGATGCCAGTTGGAGCTTTGAAAGCGGATGATTCACTGCACCTGGTTGCCCATCTCACAACTCAGCATAGAAGTTTACGTCCTTGCCCAGGACCCGTTTGACCACAAGAAATCGCGACTAAAGCAAACCATACGACTTTGGTCCGGATTCAGATTCAGTATGCCCAAGAACAAACCACCACCACGCTCTCAAATGGCTCAACCAAGAATGTCAGCCTACCGGTACTTCGTCCGCCTCCGCGACCGCCTCGAGTTCATCCTAGTGCGCTACGTCGACAAGGACCCGCACGTCCGGGAAGACTTTCCCATATACAAAGCTGAACGCGACGAGAAATGGGCAGTGGAGGATGGCTTCCATAAGCAGATTCCGTCGGCTAAGTCGGCGACCGAGCTTGAGACCATCAAGTCATGCGTCGAGCAACGCTGTGCAGAGGGGTCTCCCGCTTCACCAGAACCACCCGAAAGGGCAACGCCAGATGCCACGAGAGACAAGAGCAAGAGGAAGGACACGGAGCTTTTCTCGGGATTCGACTTTGGCCTGGAGGATGCAAGTCCAAGTGGGCAGCGCACAAACAGCCACAGCGGTTCCCAACATACAGCAAAGGACAAGGGGCCGGCCGTCCAGCGGCAGATTATCAACGAGTCACGACCCCGTGACGTCTCCAGATCGAACACGTTCACTTCCGTCGTCGACTCGACACTCTCCGAGTCTAGGCGACGCAAACGGCAGAGGTCCGACAGCAAACCCGGGTACTTTGACCCCGACCCTTTCCATGATGATGTCGGCGCAGCAGGCAAGGCGGGGATCCGAGGTGAGGGGGACGAGTTGGTCATGAATGTGCCTGTCGAGCTTCGCACCGGGTCCCTGGCCAGGGGAGGCGACGACGTCAAGGCGACGACTGGCTTTGAGGGAAAAGGAGACGAAGGTCTGGTCATGAATATTCCAGTGGAATTGCAAAACAGATCGTAGAATGCTGTGATACACGACGTGCACGACTGGGCAAGGTAAGAAGATGGTAGTTAGAATATGAATATGGAAAAGTAAAAAATAAACAAAAAGTTTAGGGCCAGATGGACTCGAACCACCATCTCTCTCTCGCCGAGTTCGTCTTATTATTTTATTTCTTTTTTCTTTCTTCTCTTTTTTTTTTTCTTTTTTCTTTTTTACCCTCAGGTATTCCTCCGTGATACGATTAATCGTAAAGGCACAATGTAAAGGCAGAATCTTGTCCGAGTCAGCAGGAGCGGAATCGAACAGGTGAACTCTTCCGGCCACCTCCTAACGAGAGAGCGCTTTACCATTAAGCCACGGCCCCTTGGCAAGGATGTTTGTTGGAAAGTAATTAGAAAGACCGACCGATGCAGGGAGATCGTTGTGCTTGGAGCAGAGTTTGTGGCAGTGGCTGATGTAGTCCAAAGAGGTGGAAGTTCGAAGAGGTTCGTAGAAGAACATCACATAGCTGCAACAGCGGAGGCTTGATGTGGAAACGACCGTTAAAGGGCAAACTCTTTACCCAGCTGTAGACGAAATAGAAATGGTATATGGCACAGTAGCGTACAAGCCTGTTCGAAGCAGGGGCCCATCATCCAGCCTAGAGGTCCCCTCTTTCCGATCGGAAACAGGCGACGTCCCTCACAACGAGTGTGTATGGTGGAACCTTTCCAAACCCCATTCTCAGGGGTTTAAGGGGGCTAAACTTACAAGGAAATAGCACAAGACATGTGTAGTGATGTTTGTGATGTGGTAGATAGAACATGCATAGTGTGTAGAGATGTGTGGAGGTGTGAAGTGTGTTCAATCTCTCCTTATCCGATCACAGTCCTAATGATTCCTTCGCAGGGTTAGGGTGTACATACTTACCAAGGCCACCAGCCATCTCAACAACGCACCTTTAGCACCTTTCGCACCGAGACCCATGACGAAGCTCAGCCAGTAGCCGAGACCGCGGACCTGAACGCCATTACGGTCAAAGTCGGGCTTCTCCGCAGTCATGCTCGACAGGCGAGCGAGCTCCTTAGGAGAGTACGGCATGTAACGCACGCGGATGAACTTCTCGAGCCACGATGGCGTCTGAGCAACAGATCGGCGATGGGTGAACATGTCGAATGATGCCCTGCCGCGGTAGTTGCCTGTGCCGGAATCGCCAACGCCGCCAAAGGGGACGGTCGAGATTGAAGCGTGGAAGAAAGCATCGTTCTTGGTGGCACCACCAGAAGTGACCTCGTTGAGGACTGCGACACATGTTAGCTTGGCTCATGTAGAAAAAGATGTGCGACGTACTCCTCTCGTTCTCCTGATCGCTTCCGAACGTAAACAGCGCCAGAGGCGTTCTGTAAACCTGGTTCGCAATGTTGATGGCATCATCCAGGGTATCGTAAGGCATGATGGCGAAAACGGGGCCGAAAGATTCCTCCTTCATGACTGAGTCGAGCATGGAGTCAACCAAGACCGCAGTGGGCTCGATGAAGAGCTGGTCCTCATCCAGACCACCACCCATGACGATCTTGCCGTTTGTCTCGTCAAGCATCTTCTTGATGCGATGGAAAGACTTCTTGTTGACAATGCGAGAGAAGTCAGGGCTGTTCTTGGCACCGCTGGGGAAGAACTCCTTCAGGGTCGCGTTGAGGCCCTGGACAAGCTGGTCGACAATGGCACGGTCGGCGAGGATGTAGTTCTGGGAAATGCAGACCTGGCCAGCATTCAGGCACTTAGACCACATGAGACGACGAGCGGCCAGCTTGACGTTGGCGTTTTTGGTAACAAAGGCGGGGTTCAGCCCACCGAGCTCGAGAGTGACGGGCGTGAGCGTCTCTGCAGCCTTCTTGGCGATGATCTTGCCGACGGCGGTGCTGCCAGTGTACATGATCTTGTCCCACTTGACATCAAGCAGCGCCTGTGTCTCCTTCACGGCGCCATTGACGACCTGGTAGGCCTTGGGATCAAGAGCAACCTCGAAAATCTTGGCCAGAATCATGGCAGTAGCCGGGGAGCTCTCGGAGGGCTTCAGAACGGCCGTGCATCCAGCGGAGATAGCGCCGATGATGGGGAGAAGAGTGAGCTGGACGGGGAAGTTGAAGGCACCAATGACGAGCACCATGCCGAGAGGCTCCTTGCGGATGCGCGGCTTCAGAGCGGCGAAGGTCAGAGGAACATCTTCGGGAGTCTCGTCCTTGGCGAATTGGTCCATCTTCTTGATCATGTAGAGGCAGTCATTGGCGCACCACTCGATCTCGGAGAGGAGAGCCTCATGCTTGCACTTTCTCAGATCCTTGCGCAGGGCATCGCAAAGCTGGGGAGTAAAGTCCCTGATGGCCCAGTAGAGCTTCCGGAGCTGGACCTTGCGCCAATTGAGGTCCTTGGTCTTGTTAGAGCGGAAAGTGGCGCGCAGGGTGTCGGTGAGGCGGTAAATGTCGTCCGTGGACGTGTGAGTGAAGTCGGCGATCTTGACGTCTGCTGAAAGCGCCATTGTGGATGATTTCGTGATGATTGGGCTAATGTCAGGCTTTCTGCTACTGGTTTCGTCTGCGAAGAACCGATCCTAGGGATGGAAAAGAGGAGGTTCGTGAGGGGAAGAAGGAATGCCGGGGTTCGGGTCCGCGGAGAGGATGGTGGTGGTGGTGGTAGATGCAGTTAAGGTTGTGAGGGCTGCGGCGACTTATGTATTCGGAGTAGCAAAATGGCAGCAGTATCAGCAGCTAGCGGACTGGCCGTTCGGTAAGGCACAGCTTAAAGTGAGTGGATGGGTGCGCCTGCGACAAAGCTCCACTTGATGTGTGCTCGGCCTCCGCGTCGCCGGGTGTGATGGAGGGAGGTAGAAGGTGAGGTTAGGGGCTCGAGGAGGTACTTTGGGACGAAAGGTATTTTATTGATTGTACGGATAGGGAGTCAGGTCCGGGGCGAGCAACCTCGGCGCGCGAAAACAGGCAGACGGTCGGGATGAACAGAGGCCGGATTATCATTCACTTTGGTGTTCCTCCTTCTAGAAGGCGGTTTGTTGTGACCAACAGTCGATGTTGCGAGTGCGAGCGAGAGAGCATGAAGCTACTTGGAACGATGGGAATGCAGGAGAGCACACACGCAGCAGACGCGACGCTGCGGGGGCGGCGAATGCGCTGCAAGTTGGAAACGAGTTCGTTTCCCAAAAAGCAGGAGCTACGGTAACGGTGCGGTACGCTAGTTGCATGTGAACGAATGCCAGTCTGTGAAATGGAAAAGATGGTGTGAGCATGGATACCTGCTCTTGCCCGAACCAGCCAGTCGAGTTGAATCGGATTTGGACAGGGAATGGAGGCATAGATGTCCCGACGGAGTGGCCTCGCCTTCATAGGGAACGGACTGAGCCACCCTTCCATGGGCCGCTCGCTGTCCCGATGGCACACAGCGGTTTGCGAAGTCATGACGCCTTCTAGTCATTGCTGACTGACGCCTCTAGAACATGTTAGCCCAGAGCTTAGAGGCGCCTCAGAGCTTCAGGTGAATCGCCTTCATCGACCGTCTCGAATGCTGCGCCAGAGCTGTACTTTAGCAGCAGAGCAACTTGGAGCTTCAGCGAGGTCCCGGTGCCAATCCCGCTGCTTGGTAGCTTCTTCCCCACATGGAGCATTGCAACGCGCTCTCTTCGGGGATAGAACCAAAGAACGCCACCCCCTGTGCATCTCGCATCTCGCAGCGACTCGCGAGCACCTGCGCTGCGCTAGAAAAGAAAGATGCCGAGGCATCAATTTGGCAGAACAGCGGGAATGGCATTGGCATGAACGAGCATGCTGACTAACAAGATACCCCTGTCCTTGGCCCTGTTTCCAGGTCCCCTTTTGGCATCCGTTCCTTAAACTTCACTCCCCGGCCGAGTCTCCGCCGAGAATGAAGTGGGATCCCGGAATCCACATGGCAGGAAATGTGATAATACCATGCGCATTGAGAAGTGTCCAAAATTCAATTGAGCAGGAGGCCAAGTGACATTTGATATTGTCGTCAGGATAAGCTCAAGATGTTCAGGATTGCTGACCAAAGTCATTTTCCAATCCTGTCACCTGAAAGGCCCCATAAGCGAATAATCACACACTTTAACCCGACTTCACCAGACCAGCTATTGCGGACGAACCCATTAGGTACTCTGTATCGTTGAAAGAGTTGCAATTTCAGTCCCCAGGTGCACGAGGCTCTCGGAAAGCATCATGTGCGCCGGGACTACCAAGTAATTCCAACGGGGTCATCGTGCGCGTCCCCTTTTATATTTCTATAAATCCGACTCAGGACGGATGTATACATGGAGATGTTACACGGGCATGCTGAACCTCAAGAAAGCCAGCTGCCTAGTCATACACATGTCTGGAGATCCTTGAGGTATGCATCCCTCAGACGTCATCTTTTTCTTTTTACGGGACTTGAGCTCGATTCAGCGGAAGTAGTGCCCTACCGACGAGCATTCTTCGAGCCGCCACGGCGAACAGCCACCAACTCCGCCTCCTTGACCTCGGCCTGCGCCGGCTGCTCGAGGAACCTCTCGATCGTGCCCATGCCGTCAACAAGCAGTCCCTCCTCGACCTTGGCAGCATCGGCCTTTTCGCCCTGCTGGCGGAACGCAGCAAGTTCCTTGCGGCGCTCTTCAGTCATGCGCCACTCCACGGGGAACCTGGGCTTCTCCTTGAATTGGTGATGCCTGGTATCCAGAGGAACATCCTCGAAAGTGTCCTTGGGGTCCTATGATGATTTTATTAGCCCTGCTGCCCCTCTAGTTCTTCCTGCCAATGTGCTCACCTTGGCTGTCGCAACAAGCTTGTCCACCAGGTCGGACAGATAACGCTTGTTCTGAGCCTGGTGCTCAAACTTCTCACTGCTCATCTTGATGATGTCCTTCTCCGGGTTCCATCGCGGACCGGCCAGCTTTCTCAGCTTGTCGGCCTGCACCGGCGTGAGGTCCAAATCGACCGGCGAGAATTCCACGACCACCTTCTTCTCCGCGGGATGAT